AAAGCATTTTGAAGTCATTGTTATCAGTGACAACAACCAGTCAGATAGCCAAAATGAGGTCTTGAGTGATGACAGCACTGACATGAATGAAGCTTCAGCTGCTGATTTGAAAGAAAATGTTGATCCTAATAAGCATCACGCCAACACTGAGCACGAAGAAACACAAAAGAGAAACACAATGAAATCCATAAATCATTCAACTAATTCTCCTAAAATAATTCCAGACTCTGAAGAGATTCTAGCAATTCTGCGTGATCAGCATAAAGATTTACTGAAGACTTTAAAGGAGCGCGAGAAACTAAAAGACAACTCTCCGGTCCAAATGTTCTTCAGAGCAGAATATGATAAAAACGTTCAGAGTTTCTCTGAGGTGAAGAAAGTGAAGCAGCTCACGAGACTCTCTGACTCTGTGTGTCAGATTCGAGTGGAGGGATCCGCCAGAGGAACCGGCTTCTTACTGTTTGACAGATTCATCCTCACCAATGCTCATGTTATTGGAGAATTTGACCCTTTCACCAGGAAGCTTTCAAAGACCTTCACCGCAGTATTTGGCTATGAAGATTTGGAAGCAAGGGAGACCAAGTGTGTGCCGGTTAAGGAACATGTTGCAGCGTACTATCATGGAAAGATCAACGTGGACAGGCATCTTGACTTTGCTCTTCTTGAACTAAAAGACGCTGATGAAATCGCTGATCCGTCCTGGATTGCTCAGTCGATACATTCATGCCCCCCCTCCTAACCGTGGTGGGATCTGCATTGTGGGACATCCAAGTGAAGGGGTAAAAAAAATTGAGCCTTGCTTCATCATTGGGAAAGAGAATCTACAAGAGGCTGCTGATAAACACACCTCTGAGAATGCCAATTTCATTCATGTGATGAGACAACAGTCTTTGGCAGAGAAATGGGAAATGCATGACAACCAGATCATTTATAACTCTTGCTTCTTTCATGGATCTTCTGGGTCTCCAGTTTTTGATGAAGACTGTTATCTGATTGGCGTTCACACCGGTGGCTATGCTTACAAAGGGGAAAATGTTAAAACTAGGAGCATTATGGAATATGCCTATTCCATGCAGCCTATCCTGGAAAGCATCATCACACAGGCCAAAGAACGTGAGAGATCTGACATCTTAAAATTGCTCTCTGAATATAAATCTTTTAATCTTAACTTGGAAGACACTGATGTGGACATGGAAGAAGAGCCACAAAATCAGGAAGATTTTATATGAATAATGGGACAGTACAGTTTTAAGCCCTGATTAATGCCACATCCATCTATTTGGATGAAATGCAAACCTTTTATTTATCTTGAGGTATTCATGCATGTTCAACATACAATTTCATTCAATAATGTATAAATTCTGTATGATCATTGGATGACTTTAGGCAAATGTCTCACTATTCATTCTTATTGGTTGCGAGTTTTTATTGTCATTTAACTGTTAATCCGGTTCTTGTGTAACATGTACATTCTATGTTTCATGTTATGGAGCAACCAGAAAACAAACTATATCCTGATCTCTGTTAGATCAGACAGCATTATTGTGTCTGTATAATTCCAAAGGATAAATTATATTTTGCTTAAATTACAGAAATCCTGAATACTATATTTTAAAGTGACAAAAATGCTGCTATTAATTATTTAATCTAATTTTATACCTGCACAACTTACTTTTTTCTGTAGAACACAAAATATAATAATAATAATAATAAATAGTTTGGAACAGCATAAGGATGAGTAATTCTTGACAGAATTGTTGGGTGAACGATCCATTAAGAGGTTAAGAATAAACATTGTTCTTAAATATTTTTGATTGCTCCAGCACTGTTCAATGCTGCAGACATTTGCACTTTCTGCTACTTTAGAAATAGGCCTACAGCTGCACATATACTCTGTATATCTTTTAATAAATCTTCTGTTTTATATTTTAATTTTTCTAACTTTTTGTATTTGTGCTTCATTTTTGCTATATGAAACAATCATGCTTAACAAAATAGTTTGGCTGCATTCTTGACTCAGAACAAAGACCTTTCAATTAATTGATATTAATATATAAATTAATATTGTGAACAGATTGTTGGTTTTTCTTAAGATTTATGCAATATGCAATAAAAGGCATACATCCTGCTGCTCATCTATAATAAATTAAAGAAACTCAGTTCTAAGCTGTCCCTTTAAAGGGGTCCTATTATGCTTTTTCACTTTTTCAACTTTAGTTAGTCTGTAAAGTTGCTGTTTGAGCATAAAAAAGTTCTGCAAAGTTACAAAGCTCAAGGTCCACTTCAAAAGGAGATATTTTATTTAACAGAAATCACTTTTCAAAAACTACAATGAACGACTCGTTTGGACTACAACGCATATTTTCCGGGATTTGTGATATCACAAATATCGACGAATGGGACGAGACCTGGTTGAGCTGCACTAGAGAAGGCAACGAGTGTTATCACTATGTCTGAGACACGCTAGCTTTCCCAAGGCAGACGAACTTAGACTGGTTACAATCATCCGGGTTTAAATCGTGCTCAAATTGATTTGATATTGACGCAATATTTACACTGAAGCTCCAACCTAGTATGAGAGCCTGTTCTAGTACACCCCCAAAACAAAATCAAGACTTTGTAAAAGAGCATAATAGGACCCCTTTAAATACCATGTAAGCAGCTGTAGTTCACTGAAGGTGCTGAGCAGTGAAGGTTGGTCTTCATGTAGAGGATCATTACCATGTGGCTGAAAATTTATTGAATACTTGAACAAGGGATTTTATCACCCAGATGCACGAGGTCTCACTGGGTCCTGCACTGCACTTCATACTCTAACCTGAGTGCCCTGCTTTGACCTCTCTGACCTTTCACCCTGAGGAGAACTTCCTGTGCTTCCTTCAATCATTCACAATCCTTCACATACAGCCCAATTAAGGACAACAAATGGCTGAAAATTAAATAGCACTGAGTGCTTCCAATTTCAGTATGTAATGCAAAGCAAAAGAAAGAAAAAAGAGATGAGATGAAGGCCAAACAGTGCGTAACGTAAATCACTGGGAGAAAATGTCCCATTTGTGTTATTCAGCTCAGCTTATTTAATCCAGAGGTAGACAGGCTTGATCATCCTACAGAGTTCAGTGCCAAACCTGCACCTGTCTGTCATTTTCAGATAATCCTCCTTGGTTTGGTGGTTCAGGTGCTAACTTCCACTGAACTTATGGATTCACAACATTTATTCTGTTGTATTCCAGATCCATTGACATGCATAGTTATGTCTTAGCTTATTATAGCCCGGTTATAAATTATATCATCACACAAAGCATTTACTGTTGAAAAACTACTATGTATGACCACAGACAAATAACTGACTCAAAAAATAAAATAAAAGTCATAAGTAAAAATAAAATAAATAATAATCAAGTAAAATCACCACCAGTTAGCTAGTTAAACTGCACCATAACCATACAGATGGGCTGAAAACAGCTGATAACTACAAATGCACTTAGATAACTAACTGGATACATCTATACTTACATTAAAGAAGCTATCATTCTGAATGTGAATAATATAAGTTATTTATTTGAAAAAGTGAAATATTTAAAATAATTTATTTTAACCACACTTGACAAAGTATATTGGCCTTTTCTTGACTCCTAAAGAACATGAACCTCCGTCTTTAGAAGTGTTTCATCATAAATTCTTGTACTTCAAATGATCTTTTCTGGGCGTGGACTGAAGAGCAGGAAATCAGATGATCGTCAGTGAGAAGAGCAGAAGAGAGGAAACCAAAGAAGAGAAAGAAATACAGACACCAGGCACGATCAGGTAATTATTATTGTTGTATCATTATAAACAATAATTATTATAATTTTTTTTTTTTCATATTTTACAAAACGAGTAAAATTACCATACTAACATGATTACAATCAACATTTCTTATTTTCTTTAAAACGCAGCTATTATTTTGGCAGGAAACCAAACACTGGGCGATTTTGGCCACGATTTGGTCATCTGAGACAAATTTTGAAAATCCTAAAAGATTCCTATAATCCTAGGCTAAAATCTGTAGTCTTTGACAACCGATATAAAGATATAAACGATCCTCATGACGAATTTGGGAAGATAGTTGGTGCAAACTTGGTAAGCAAATGCAAATTATTAGCAACACAACCACAGAGCTTGCAGAGCATCCTTACTGTGAATGATCAAACACAACTGAACCAACTAATTAGGATCTGAAGGAGCACTTGATAATTACGGACAGGTGTGTTTGATCATGGTTGGAACTGAACTCTGCAGGAAGGTACATCTCCAGGACCAGGGTTGGGCACCCCTGTCATAGGGGAACCACTTTAAGTGCTATATACTGTAGCACCTATCTTTAAATGTGTTAAACAGCGCCTTTGTCAAATGGTACCATGTAGAACCATAAGAGGAAACCCATTCTCCTCAGATTTTAGATATGTTACTCCACTCTCATATGTTTGCTATGAATGGGAATTTACTACAATGAGGTCAAAAAGTCTTGTGGTGGCGGCTCTGGAATATTTCCTTATAGGGGGGCCTTGGGGCAAAAAGGTTGAGAACCACGTTATCTTCAGGAAATACACTGTATTTTGAAATGTTGTAATCCTTTCACCAACTAAACTAAGAGAGACTAGAGTTAGAGAACCTTTTTTATCTTTTTTGTTTTGTCTCATAGTAACTGAGACTTGCCAAAGAAAAAATTAAGAGTGTGTGAAGAAGCTAACAAGAACAATTCATTAATTAAAATTGTCAGCAGAAAAATAAGAGTAGAATTTGACTACTTCTAGTGTTAAGGTAATATTGTTAAAAGGTGAGCTTAAGTTACAAGTCTTTCTCCTCGAAGCTCAGATCACCATTGTTTGTTCTATTCATAGATACAAAACATGTCTAAAGCATCACCCAAAAAACTGAAGCAGACTGAAATTTCGAGCTTCTTTTCGAGTGCTGTGACTCGCTTAGACTTATTTCCAATGGTAATGTTGTTGTCTCTTTCAGAAAAAGGAGGCTGCCACAGACAGTGAATCTGGGGAGTCATCAGAAGACAGTGTTCAGGTAAGGTTGTGATTGTCAGCAACGGTGGCTGTAATGAAGCGCACAATGACAAGGAATGGCACAGAAGTCTTTAATCATTAATCTAACTCAGAAACTCACATGGAGTAATACATAGATCACAACCAAAACTAAAGACGAGATCGGACACAAAACAATGAGGGCTTAAATACAGAGTAAGTTAATTAACTGGAACTAATGACAGGTGAAAACTAATCAGAAACCATGGAAACGAATGATCAGTAGGAACACATGCAACACGGAAAACAGGGAAAACCAAAATGCAAAGAAACTAAACTGGGGCACGTTTCCAAAACACAACCATGGTAGCAAGTTCTGTCGTTACTAAGAGAGTTCAATGGAACTTACAACCATAGTTAGCTACCGATGCTTTTGGGAAACGCACCCCTTACTGAGACAGTGATAGTGATCTTTGTTTTATAGTGTTTTAGGCCTATGAAACAAAAAGCTTTAGGTAACTTGTCACAATCTACAGCATAACCAGAGTACCTGAGGGTCATCAATATTCCAATATAAAAATCATCAGTTAGTCAAAAAGGAATCAGTAGCTTAATCCAAATGCCACCATATGATTTTTTTCATGAAATTCTCAAAGCCACAAATAAAGAGAAAAGCATCATGAACTAGACGACTTTAATATCTAATGTACAACAGCAGAATAGCTGGAATTGAAAAAAAAAAAAAAATCAATAGCATTCAGTTTCAACTGTAATAAAACATCACTGGTCACAGCAAATGTTTTTGACTGTTAATAGTTTCCATATTTGTTTCCCACCTCGTTAATAGACCATTAGTTTGTGATTTTAGCTTTGCTGCTTCATGCTGGGTGTGAAAAGCCATAAAACTGAAATTACTTGGCCTTTTAATGATTAAAAATATGATAAAAAGCTGTAGACAGTGGTAAGCCTGTATTAACATCACTGTTGACATTTTCTTAAGAAAAAAATTGATTATTCGTTTAAGAAAGAAGTTGAAGAGGGACCTTCAAAACATCTGCAGCAGGTAGATCACTTAAGCATTGATTACAAATTTCTTCAGTGGAATTAACTTGAATATTTGTGTACATAACAAATGTTTTTTCCCCTAATTTTAACAGGAAGCAGAAGTGAAAACACAATTTCCAGTATTGTTTTAATAGATTAAAGAGATTTTCAGTGTCATGTAAAACATCCATGACTGTGCTTGAGGCTCTTAATACAAGCCAAATGTTCAAGAATGAAAAAGACAAAAAGAAAAACAAGCAGAAAGAAATACTCATCCAAAGGTGTAAAGAAGGCGTTCCTACAGCAGCTGTGAAGACTGATTTTCCCTGCTGTCTTATTGAAACTGATGAGATCTTATATATAGACTTCATCCAAAAGGATGAAAATAGTTGTACAAATCGAACAACTGCAGATCCTTCACTCAGGAAAACAAGTATGCCTGAAACGTTAGTCACCTTCCAGGTTAAAAAAGAAGGAGGACAGAAAGTGCGACTCTTACTGAAGAGCAAAGCCCTGAGAAGAAGAGTACAATATGTCTGTGTATATGCATTCAAAGGAGAGAAAATCAAAACTGCTCTTAAACGTGATGGACGATTCAAAAATGACATTTTCAGGAAACACTGTGCGTTAAGTGATGAGTTAAAGCATGAATGGTCAAATCCTGTAGACAATCTTGACAGAAAGGCTTTCCAGTTAGTTGTTCTCAGTGATAAGAATCAGCCAGACAGTCAAGATGATTTGACTCCTGTCATGACTGAACCTAATGTAGCTTCAGATGCTGATGTGGCAGAAACTGCCGGCTCAAGTCAGAATCCCATCAACACCAGTGAGCAAGAAAAAAAACATGATGGAAACACAAAGTCCACAAATCCTTCAATTAAACGGTATGCCGCTAAACCTATTGCAGATTCTGCAGAGATTCTGGGAATTCTGCACGATCAGTTTCCAGTTTTACTGAAGCAATTAAAGCAGCGAGAGAAACTGAAGAACAAATCTGATGTCCAGAAGTTCTTCAGAGCAGAATATGGTAAAAGTGTTGAGAATTTCTTGAAGGTGAAGAAAGTAAAGCAGCTCATGAAGCTCTCTGACTCTGTGTGTCAGATTCGTCAGGGGGGTCTGCTTTAGGAACTGGTTTCTTGCTCTTTGACAGATACATCCTCACTAACGCTCATGTTATTGGAGAACCTACTGATGTTCCAAAAGTTAACGCTGGACAGTTCACAGCTGTATTTGGTTATGAAGACCTGGATTCAGAGGATAGCAAGCGCATACCAGTTGAACAACTCGCAGCTCACTCTTACGGAACGGATGATAAAGGAAGGTATCTTGACTATGCTCTTCTTGAGCTTGATGACATTGAAAACATTGCTGAGTATCCTAAATTGCTTGATTGTTACCGTCCAAATGCTCCTATTAACAGAGGACAGATCTGTATTGTGGGACATCCAGGTGAAGGGGTTAAGAAAATGGACCCCTGCTTCATCATTGAGAGAGAAAATCGAATAGAGGCTGCAAATAAACACAAAACTGAGAATCAACATTTAATTCATCTTATGAATGAGGCATGCTCGAAAGAGAAATGGAACTTTTTGGCAAATGAAAACCAGATCACTTATGACTCTTGTTTCTTTCACGGATCTTCTGGCTCTCCAGTTTTTGATGTAGACTGCAATCTGATTGGCATCCACACTGGTGGCTATAAGTACAAAACAGAAGGAGATAAAACACGGAACTTTATGGAATATGGCTTTTCCATGCAGCCCATCCTAGAAAACATCAGCGTACAGGCTAGGATGAAAGATTTGACAAATATCTTCAGTGTCATAGAAGCCTACAGCAATGTGTCTGGGACTGCAGAGCAACAGAATCAGATCGACATTGAGATGGAAAGTGCTGAAGAGTCTGAAGAGCTTTGAAGGAATCTGTTCACACCTCTGTGCTGCCATTTTTTTGTAGGGGGTGGGTGACTGTAAAACCTTCTGAGAGACCTAAACATCAGACTGCGATTTGTCAGTGTCATTATGGGTTTTCACTTTTCATATAATTTTTTAGAGATGATTGAGTGGTCAAAAGTTATGTTCTGTTTCTCTTATTTTTGATTAATGTAAAGTCATGTATCTCACCTGCAGATCTGACTCATGCCAAGAGAGCAGAACAGTGAAAATTATTCATTTGACAAAGACCAAAGCTAGTTATAGGTCATTCTTTATTGTATTTTCTTTACATTTTCATCCATACTTGTGTATTCATAGGTATTCATATACATACTCATTTAACAAATCATTCAGACTTATTGTTTATGTTATTTTTACTTTTTATTTTTTGTGCATGTTGTATGCTGATTTTACATTGATCTTTTGCTTTTGCCTCTGAGATCATGTTCAAGCTTCCACATCAAATCATCTTTGAATCACACAAATACAGCGAAATTAACTGATCTGACAGAATCACTGTAATGTGAGACAAGAATACACAAATGTGTATCTCCACTAAAATAAATACATTTAGAATGACATCTTTGAGTTTACAGCAAATCACTGCTCTTTATGTGTTAATGATACATTTAGATGTAAATTACATTAAATAAAACTATTTCTATGTCAAATACAGCTTTAATGTTTGTCCCACTTATATTTATTATTCCATTAGCGTGTACCTTGTCTGATGCATGCATTGGTGTTGGTGTGTGTTGTTTTGATTGTTCATCATGTTGAGAAGCTTCTGAGATCTTCAGTTTGCTGGGCCTGGAAACTTTTGTGAATGTCCTGTACAGAAGAAATGTAATCACAATTAATAAAAATCACATTCATTTGTATTTCACACAATAAATTACAATAAAGACCCTTAAAAGGCTTGACAAGTGCATTTTCTGTCTTGTTGAAACATGAAGTTTTCATGGAACAGGGAATCAAAGCCACAAAATTTGTTTTAATGTAAGCAGCATGAATCTATTTAGTGACTGGAATCATCTGTTGAGATCATTCAATCAGTAAAATAATATATTTTCTATAAATTAATTCTAATTTTGTTTGCCAGAAAAAGATCTCACCACTGAGCGCTGTTGTAGTATGTGTGAGATCACATATTTATTTGTTACACTCACAGGAAGCAGGTACTGTGAGGATCCTTCCATCAGGTCCTGCAGAAAGGGATGCTGGGATAGCGTGGAGAAAGGAATCTTCTCCTCATCCTTAAAACCCAACTCCTTAAACACCTTCAGCAGCTCCTGAACACACAACAACACATGAAATACAGCTCCATACAGACCCTTTACACCATCTACTGATCTACAGAAACACAGATTGTCGCTATATTCGAAAACCAAGTGAAATACTTTCCAGTGAACACCTACTGGACACAAAGATTTCACAAACAGACCTACATTTGTGAGACAGTTATGAGTGACTAACACACACACACACACACACACACACACACACTGATTAAGTATTTTTGCCATCTTGCCATTTTAAATAAAAAGGCTTTGTATTTGTTTATATTTTTCATTAAAATGGTCCAAGTAGGGTGTAGTTGGGTTGCTGGGATCTTTTGGTTTTGGAGCAGAGCTGTTATATTCTACCTCTTTGAGTTCATCTCTGCTCCTGTGGTTTGGCTGTAAGCGGTTCAGACGTGAGGAGACTTGATCATCTCCATGACTCAGAACTTCGAGCACATCATCAACAGACACGCCAGCTTCTTCAGACTCCACCTCTTCATCAGCGTCACATTCCTCAACTCCAGCGCCCTCCATATACGGCACAGACTACAGCAGGTTTGAAACAAAACCAGAGTGAATCTCATTTAAACACATTTCAAATATTTCACAATTCAGGTAATACATTCGTTTTGTGCATTACAGTAATGAGAAGTCAATGCTTTGTTGAATAAAAAATGATGTCAATGCAAATCTTCTAAAAACTTTCTTTCTATTCTTTCTTTCTGTTAAGCATGTCATACTGTGTGTACCTGTGTGAGGGGGCCGGCGTGTTTATAGTGCAGTGTGTGTCTGATCACGAGGCTGAGTGCTCTGGTGAAGCCCTGAGCCGGTTCAGGATGACAGCAGAAATACAGCAGCATGCTCTGATAGTCCAGCATCAGCGGAGATGAGTGTGTGCTCGCAAACAGACTGAAGAAAAACTACACACAGAAACAAGGAAAAAATGTAATATACTGTATGTTCATACACAGATTGTCTATTCAGAACATCTTTTGGGAAACATCATAGTTGCAGTCAAAGTTAAGGGTATTGTTTACTCAAAAGTGAAAATTCGCTGAGAATTTACTCACCTCTATGCCATCCAAGATGTAGATGAGTTTGTTTCTTCACAGAAACAGATTACATCACTTGCTCACCAATGGATCCTCTGCAGTGAATGGATGCCATCAGAATGAGTTAAAAACACCCATAAGGCTTGAAGTTAAAAATGCCTTGATGGATTTGTTTCTTACAAACATGCAGCATTTCTCTTTGCAAACACTGAGTGATGGGCTGGATTGTGGATTACTTGTGGACTATTGTGATGTTTTTATCAGCTATTTTGACGGCACCCATTCACTGCAGAGGATCCATTGGTGAGCAAGTGATGTAATGCTGAATTTCTCCAAATCTGTTCTGATGAAGAAGCAAACTCATCTACTGTACATCTTGGATGGCCTGAGGGTGTGCACTTTTTCAGCAATTTTTCATTTTTTGGTGAACTACTCATTTATTCAGTTATGTTTTACTGCATATTAAAGGGTCAACTATTTTTTCTGCTGTAACAGCTTAATGTACTACTATGAAAACACTGTAACTTCACAATATATCTTTGAAAAGATGCTGTTACTGAAGGATGGGAGAGGTAGACGGCTGCAGCAAAAAGAAACAGACGGGTAAAAATTTAAATAGTAACATGAACAAAAACAACAACAACAAAAATATATGACCCCATTCGAAGTTCAAAAAATCTTTTAACCTGCTGCATTACCTTCTTAAGATTGGCTAGTCTGTCATAGGGCAGAGGTTCAGTTGGGTCATCAGGGACAGGAAGATCTCTTTCACTGGGAAACCACAATTCAATCTGATCAAAAAAACAAAACATATTAAATTGAACTTATAGGCACATATAAATGTAGCAAGATTACAGATGAGGCTTGCTTTCATTCATTTTAACTGTAGAAACAGCATGCAG